TATATATAGCTTATTTTCGTTTAAATATAGCGTATTTTTTGCTGCTCTTCTTGTATGAGTCGATCGTGCTGGTGGGTCCGACTTGCTACTGGCAGTAGATGCTCTGTGTTAGATGTGTCTCAATAACCTATGAATGAACGGAGTCATAGCCGTATGATCCGGTGAACGGGCGGCCTTCATCAACCATACAGTAATCAATCAGTTAATGCCTGTGTCACCCCTTGAGCTGGCAATTTGGACGCATACCGGCTCTGAAAACAAGTCCAATGCTGATCAGGTCGGGGCGTAATGTACGTCGCACCATGGTCATCACCTCCATCATAGTCGTCGCGGTCACATGTCTCTCTTGTAGTTTTCCACACCGCCTACTTCGTTTCGCTTCTGCCTGTTTAGCTTCGTGTCTTTGTTCAATCGATCAAACTTCTATATGTACATATATATTGCCTACCACGGTTACCCTATGTTTTAGAGGTCGGCAAACGCTCCGAGAGTGGCCATTTGTTTTATAGTTTTTTGTTTATCCTTTTTCTGTTTCATTTTTCACTTTCTATACAGGCAATTAACTGCGTTAATATTATGAATACATACGTAGGGTCCTCCTTTTCCTGTCTATGATTTTGTATCACCGTGTCATTGTCTTTCTGATCTTCTGCTGTAGCTGCTGGCTTCGGTCTGTTGCGTCGATTCGATTCCAATTCAGTTCTCGAATGAAAGCAGCGGGCGAAAGACCGGCGACGTTAACATAATGTGTTACGTTTTCCTTGATTATTGTCTGTCTTTTTTACTTGCTCAGCTTTTCGCATTTTTTCATCTACATCGTATTCCTTATAATTTGCCTTCTTTTTAGCATTTAACTATTATTGTTGCGGGAAGTCAGTTTTTGTAGACTAGTGTCTTGAGTATAGATTGTTACTAGTGAATTATGGTTAGCAATTACGGCCGCTGGTACTGTATTATCAATAGTAGTTATGTTGGGTGACTCGCTACTAAGCAGCGCTACCTTTCCGCGAGGCGGCCGGCATTTCCGTGATCTTTCGGTAGATAGGGCTAGTAACAAAGCGTGGGTAGGAATCGCGCTTCATCAACGTGTAGATCTGCAGCTGGGCTTCGTCGAACGCCGACGCGGTTGGACCCGTGACCATGTTCTTGTTGATAATGTCACGCACTCGAGAATCCAACGAAACCTAATAAAAATAAGGTTTTTTTTTTACATTAGGAGCGCAACGAAACGAAGAAAAATATATCACCTATTTACCGCGGAATCTAATGAAATTTGCCGTGAGTATAAAGACAGTGTCCTGTCACATGGAGAGAACGTCAAGGGTGGCGGTGCTCAATTCATTGACGATCAACTGACCCTTAGGTGTATTGAGGGCTGTGGGCTAGAGCATACGTTTGCACGCATACACTTATATACTTACATATGGTGATGATAATGTTTCTCAGTTATGGACTTACCTCTCGCGGAGAAAGGATTGAAATGAAATCTTCATAGATAAGACGCGCTTTTTCTTCTACTTGGTCCTCCTTGGTCTCCTTTTTGAGTTCTTCGCAGGCTAACCAGAAGAGAATATTCTCTTCACTGTATTCACAGCGTAGATAATCGCGGAAAATTTTGCGCCCAGCTAAAAGAGCAAATGGTTAATGGGAACATTAGATGTAGCAGGCTCTCTAAGCGGTGCGTTTGAAAATAACTGAAAAAATGTAAGGCATATAAAGGGTTGCAAAGTTTTTTGAGCTTCACTTGTGAGATACATTCTGTTAGTAAATACACCAGTGTATTCGTTCAAATCAATTACTTTGTATCCTTTTTGTAAAACTGTACAAGGTAATGAGTTTGGGAATTTTAATGAGTTTTTTTTTTGTGAATATAGAAAATAGTGGATAAATCGCACTGTAATAAATTGTCATATTATTTTTGGTTAAAAAGCAACAACCTAAGAGATCGTTCGATTCTAAAAACATGACTTAACACCGAATGAGATCAACGACTCTGGGGGCTCTTGAAAAGAAACGACTTCATCTTACAGGCTAAGGGCTTACTCATATTTTATTGAAAAGATGTGAGAGTTTCAATATCTCTATTAAAAGATAGCAACCTCGATCTTGCTTGCGGGATACGTAACAACCTGACAACATACCTATCCATTGGATGGAAACTTGAACTTGGTTGCAAATAAGGACCAATTTTTTATAGAAATGACCGACCACTAGCCACCACCGAAACAACTAGCACGACGTTCAAGTCTTTGCTTCGACACCCAATACGTACGTGCTCAAATGACCGGGCGCGGTCTAACTTAAGTTATCATCTAAGGGAATGTTATTATATCGAAGAAATCTCTGATCATAGACCCTTTGACATATCCGGTTTTATCATGCCAAAGGAAAAGAAACGACTTCGACAAAGCTAACAATGGTTTCTGATTTGGAGCCATACCGAACGCCACTAATTCGTCAACCAAGACGCCAGTACCAAACTAACCAGCTTATACAATGTAAGGTAAGTTGTTTGAAAGGTACAGAGGCTTCGAGTTTAGATACCTACCTGAACAGAGATTAGTAGGGACAAATTGTGAAATTAATCAGGAAGAGAGTAGCGGTCCTGAGAGACGGCGAACCGAGTTTAACTACATTTGTACAACAACAACATCATAACATTGATAGCAGAATGTTTAAATAGCTATCATTTGCCACAAACAACCCGCTTGCACTTTTGCTATGGCCCGCTTTGAGGAAGTTGCTCAAGGTCCAATGCTGCCTTTTGCCATTAGATACGGGGGCCATATGGGACAGAGTTGGGGTGATGCGTCGCCTAATGAACGACCCCAGCGACCACTCCCGATTACCGTCAACGAGCTATGTTCTGGCTGAATTCATTTTTAAACCAGGCAATCGTAGCAGTAGAAACAGCAGGCTCGCTCATACCGGACTATCGCTAAGCATTAAAGAGGGACAGAGAATTAGAGCTGTGCAGCGGAGCACACACGTCCTATGTAGAAACAATTTAAGACAATGGGTTGTTTGGTCTGCTCGGATCACGCAGATAACAAAGCTCGGAGCGCTTCATGGACAGACTGCTTCCGGAGACGAGTGAAATGCTAAAGAGGATCAGGCTAGGTAGGTATGAAAGTGGCCTTGTAAGCGATTTGAAAATTCATCAAATGTAGCGGTCGCCATAAAAAAAAGCGTAAATGGTTGCGATCTAGCGAGTTTGAACGAGCCTTAATTTTCTTTTTGCTCTAGAAAAAGACCGGACGTGTCGTGGGTGGGGTGAGTGTTTGCTACTTATTTGGTATGTTTTGCGAAAGCCTCTAGGAATTGTTGGTAAATACAGGTGCGGATACAGTGGTACATCAAATGTTTAGAGAATTTGTCTAAACAACTATCGGGAAAAGCGATAAAGTGTGCAATGGGTTATATGGTACAGGTCAATATATGGCTATTATATACGATATGAACGCAAAACTTGGTTGAACACTTAAGAGAGATGCACTCAAATAAAGACATGACCTTTCATAATGTGATTTATGGATACTTACTACGTCCATATGTATGGACTGGCTAGTTAAACTGACTATAAATAAAAAACCGCTGATCTATTACGCTTAACAGGCGAAGAAATCATTGAAAATCTGGTGGGATTGCTAAAATGTCCAACTTTGGTGTGGAGCTTCTAAACCATCTGCCTTGAGAAGCTGACGGCTGCTAAAGGCAAGACACTCAATACATCTAAGCTGTACCTAAATATGTTTGCCTCGTATCCGCAAGATGCGTCGAACAATTCGATAAAAAAAGCTTTAATTCACTACAGAACCCTTCACACTGTCTACAAAAAAAATAGGAGACACACTGAACGGATAAAACGCACTGAATGAATTACACCGCTTTTATAGAGAAAAAGTTCGAAGATTTACAAGCCGTCTAAGGATCCAAACGCCTGTCATGACCGTATATGATTTGCTGTGGAATTATCACAGTCAAGATCACTCTTATATATTCAACGCTAGCTACTTTAACGCTTTGGCCGTTTGTATTATGAGCTATTTCTGGCCATAACCGAAGTACGTTAGCTATCGATTCCATGTGTACATCTCTGCATGTCCAGCGTCACGTAATCTATAAATATGTTTAAGCTAATGGTATTTGCGACTACTTATTGGGCGAGGCTTTATGGGATTGAACTAGCTTAGCACATTAGTGTCATAATAAAACAAAGTTATTACAACAACAACTTACCTGGATGCCTCATGAGTTTATCGAACGACCCACCCCATTCCAGGATCACATCTAGTGGAGGCCTGAAATTCGTAGAATTTTGACACGAAACAGCAGAAACGCAAACGATAACGGGATATGAGGCAGGGATGCATACGGCAATAGCCTTCCACGCTTTCCGTATAAGCAGTTATTCGAACATCGAGTTTTGGCAAGCTAAACGAGTATGTTCTACCTAAACAATTCAAACAGCTTTATACGTTTCGATCATCATCTTGAGAAAAATCAGCGAGGACCTTGCCTTGCTGAGTGGTTATTAATAAGGACCTTCTATCATATGAATATCAAATTGGCATGACTGTCATACCTGTTGATATTGTGCATGGGCGTTTGGAGTGTCTAATACATATAATAGCTGGTTAGTATAAAATTATAATTGTTGTTGGCGTTGATCACTTGATCCCTAGCTTATACATACGTCTGTAATTTGAATAGTGAATGCGGTCATAAGATGCTGCTTATCCGCATTCGGTACACACCTCAAAGGTTCCGAACGTGCTTATGTTTTATCGACAATGGTACAGAGACATATCCTCGCGAAATCTATTGAAACTGGCGAAGAGTATTCGAAGCAGACTAGCGATACTACCGCTCGAACTGTTGCAGCGGGAAAATTGAGACACGTCCTCAAAGTTATGGAGTTCTTTTCGTACAAGGCGCTATTTTTGATTAGAGTTGAAAATCAATGGAGGACTTTTTTTAACATGAACGGAACGGTGCATCACAGCCCATCAATAGATATAACAGCATTATATTATACTGTCCATTCAAATCGTTTAGTTACGCCATTTGTAATTGAGACACTAGAAATAAAGTTGTATATATACAAGGTGGGGCAAAGGTAAGTTTACAGTAACGAAAGATTTAAACCTATAGATGGCCTCTGAGTGGCAAAGGAAAGGCCATAGATTTTAGTTTACAGTATACTGTACATACATACGGTTGCCATTCGTTCCATTCATGAAAAATCTAACCTAGCAATGCTTATTTACGGGTTGTTCGTCCTGTCATCGTTGCGTTACAGGAGCGTCTAAATTTAGTAAGGAGACGGAAACAAGTTCTAAGTATATTAGTGCCAGTATGGTTGATGGTGAACAACGTAAACTCGTTAGTAAAATACCGACGGCAACCACTCGGCATCTTATGATGACTAAGTGCTACATATTTCACATGAACACGTGTGATTCAGGGGACATCGGCAGCATCCAGCATAGCGTGACTTCGGTCTTCGCCGCAGCTGCCTCAGCAAAGGTGCGGTCTCGATATGTATCATTCCACAGATTGACAACCCTTCTACAGGCTTCCTTACGTTATCATCTACGGTTTGCTGTTTTAGCAGGTGCTAACGCGGTCGAGGAACGAAATTATGTCACAGTAAAGCAGTTAACAACAGCAGCTGCACTAGTAGACAGAGCAGCGACAAAGGCGGATGATAACCGAAAACAGTACCACGCAGAGAGCATCGCCACAGTTGCAAACAGTCATTACAGGTAGGTGTTTGGTAGAACGGCCGCTATGATAATTCTGCTGGTCACTATGAGCGAACCCTCATCTACCGCGTCAAGTGTTGGTGGTAACCTAACTATACATGTTTGTAATTTTCGTGTTTTTTTTACTAGTCGCAGCTGTTTAAACAGGAAAGCGGAAAGATTAGCAATTTTTGTCACTAGTATTTTTTTCCGGCACGACGATCCAGTAGTCAAAACATGTACGTATACATCTGAGCATGTGTAAATCTGGCAAGATTCTAATTAGATGTTTTTACTTGCACAAAAAGTCAAAACCAAATAGTGTTTACTGAGTCAATGCTGCATGACACTTACACTCATATATGCATAACTAATATTTTATCATATCAGCCCTACGCAATATACTGCTGTACAGTTCTTTCTATTAGTATTCTATGATTTTCAAGTACGCCGTATATGTATCATTCTGTTTATTGTTGAAATATTCTGTGTCGAGTAACTTTAGCACTCAGAAAAATGCACATCGGCTCATGTCGTATTTCTACAACGTTCTTCAATCTATATTAATCTTTTTATATGTGTACTATACTGCTAAGTTAAATAGCTGCCCGCCGTTCTCTGAGAACGTGTGTGGCAGCGTATTGTGACTATATTTAAAATTGGCGCCGGTTGGCGTTACTTACGGTGAGTGCTCTCCCCAGAGTTCGGTGGCGGATAGCTGATCAGAATGTCCTTCGCTGTTCGAGTTCGCATGCTCCGAACGCATGTTACCGTTGTTGCTGAAAGAAACAGACCCCATCGCTGTTGTTAATCGATTCCATATCGGTATTAGCGGGCGACCCAACAGTACCACTGGCCTGCATCGGTGCCGCCATTGCCACATGTTGCTGTCATTGCGAATGTGAATCTGGATCGGAAAACTGAGAGCCATACGCCACCGCCATTTCAGCCCGGTTGCATTCGCATGACGGGAGAATGAAGTTACGTTTCCTCGATATTACTGATCCGACTGCCAAGATCCGACTCCATTAAAAACGCTAACGAAATTGACGAGAACAAGGAAAACAATAATGGGAATGATGATTTAGAAGGTAGCGTTACATTCGGAGACGCGCTTCGAGATAGGGTTTGTTTTGCCACGAAGCTCGGCTTTATGCCATGATTCATTTTCACTGACAGAGTACATCAGGCAATGGCTTATCAATCTTTGTTAATAATTTCAAGAGAGCCACTAATAAGATCGAGTCAGCAGCTGGATTTCAGTCGAGAGTGCGCTAAGTCAAGTCTTCGTAGGCAGCGCATACAACGGAATGCCTAGGAGATGTTGGACACACTCAAAATGTAAGTGACTTTTCAGACAACGAAGCCAAATAAAAGCTGCAGACTCAGCTCTTTATTTATGAAAAAAAGGAAAGCTAGGACTTGATAGCTGAGAAGGGGTACCCGACCGATCACAGCTAAGGCAAGTGTTCTTGTTGTGATCGTAATATTTTAAGCTGTTTTCATATGAAAACAAAACTTCGACACGTTCCCGAAGCAGTTATGACTTTTTACACAAACTATTCCATCCGACAGTTCGATTACCAAAGTGCTGCCAAAAATGGAGAAACACCGCTAATGACGGCTTTTTTTTTATTCCTACGTCAGTAAATTTTGGCCATTCAGCCGCGTTTGAGGTTTTCATCGTTGTAGATTACTCTTACTGTTTCCGGGATTGTATGAGCAGTCAATGCGTGTTGCATACTGAGGTCTGTGTCGCTATACTGTATGTTGTCCGAAACAAATGGACGCTTTGAATCGCGCATATCGAGACGAAGCCAGAGGGTGCGAAGATGCACCGAAGAGCGCATTAAAACACTAGGCGATTTCGAAAATTGATTTTGGCTTACCCATAATGGCGGCATTCGTTACATTTGCTTTCACGGTTTCTGCCGTTCGTCTTCTATTCGTTTAAAGCTGTTCGCTGGGCTATTCAACGGCAAGTCTCTGGCAGGATAGCGAACTTTCGAGTTGGCTCAAATCGGTTCGCTGCTCACTAAGCGTTACCGGATCGATTTATACGGCGCCGGCAGGCAGAGCCAACAGTGAAATGAAAGAGAAACAGTGGTAACGACAACTACAACGGCGCCTGAAATGGAAAGCGGCAGAAGGAATCAGCAAGCTCGGTCGGATGTTTGTTTATGTCCCGTGCTGTCGCGCCCTGCACGACGACCGGGGTCTTGTTGCTGCTGAGGTTGTTCGCAAAAAAAATACTGGACGTGCACAGATAGCCTCCAAGGGTCCTATGCTGCAGGACAAATAAAGTAGTGGCTACTGCGAATGCCCTAGCAGCGCACGACGAATCCTGTAGTAGCATTTGTCGTGAGCTGGTAAGGCCTGTTGTGGTTGCCTTTGCTGTTACTGTCCAAACCGCAGATAATTAAGTAGACGCGAAAAGCCAACAATGACAGCGGCGAACGTACATCGTTCAGCGTACATGGCGTCAAAGCCATCCATAGTGAATGCGCTGTACTGCTACTGCTGCTGCTGCTGCTACGATTTTCCCCTGAGTCAATTTTAGTAATCACGCATTCTCACTGTTAGAGAACACGCCCGCGTTACTTCGTGCTTGCACACTAAAGAGTGATGTTATGCGACGCTTTCGACGACTGCTAGTTGACGGGTCTGCTGCCACCTTGAGCACCGAGGCTTGTTTTTAGAAGAATCGCTAGAAATTCGTATCAGTAGAGAATCGACATACGTATGCGTATCTACTACTCACTGCAACGTACGTGTCAGATCTGTAGCTAATCATACTGTTTCAAATCGGTATAGCTACTGCATGAAGATCTTTTATGGAAGACAGCAAAAGCCATCAGTAAAATGAAGAGAGACGGCTTACTCGTCAATGAGTTGTGGCATAATTAGAGCTGACCGCTCATTCGTACGAGCGCGAAATAGAATTGCATTGACATCTTGCATTTTACTGTTTCGTATTTTTATTGATAGGGCGACATTTGCTTGTGCCAATTACTGACATTGATTGACAATGCAGAATAAAAAAGACGCAATTTTATGTCTGCACCGGTAAATCAATACACCATTTTCAACAGGTGTACAATTTTCAATTTTTGCGGACCCATCTCTCAAGTACGTGCAGCATTCTATTCCATTACGCGGCACCTCACAGAAAGCGCGCCGACTTCGCCGCGTACAGCACCACAATAGTAGGCGTACGCCCATATGCTTGACTACCGACCTAGCAAGTTGTTAGGTCGGTCTTCCCATCTTTCGAATCTCCAATATTTGCTTCCGCTAGTGTTATTACTATCGGCAGCCAAGCCTCCTGTTGCCTGTTGCTTTCTATGCGAAAATGAATAGAGCAAGCCAGCCAGATATCTATGAGATGCAAGGCCGAGGATCTTACTCCGCACTCAGTCGCATGGCCGGTTCTGACCTACTGGCCGATAGCGACCTTTGTTACGTTGGCCTGTATTCGTAGCGCCCCCCGCAAGGCTAAGTGTACTATATCCGTGCAAGTCTGAGAAATTAGCAGACCAGAAGCGCCGCGTTCGTTTATGGGATGATGCCAGAAGCAAAGAAGGCCAGCCTATGCAGATCTCGGCAAAACGGGCCGAATCTCTATGGCGTTCTCCTAAAAACACCAGCCATTCGGCCTGAAGCAGCGAATCAATAATGCGCACAGTTCTGTGAGCCTATGTTGCCGTCGTCTTGCCGTGGCGTGACGTAACGTAGGTTATGTGGCTGGTGTAGCTTAGAGCGTAGTTCTGTGTTAGTCCACCAGTTTAGGCTTTCAAAGGACATCGAAGAAGAAAGGGCGCACCAAAACCTTTTTCTTTTCCTTTCTCCCAAAGTGCCCCACTATTGTCATTGTTGCCGACGGTGCTAACGTGGCAATTCGTATTGCACCAGAACCACCAGACGCCAGAAGAACGACTACCGTAACAACCTAAATAGGTCTTTGTTACGGCCTGCTTTTAATACAGCAACTGGCCTAGTGACTACTAAGACAAAGGGAGCTTAAGTGTAAGAGGGACGGAAAAGATAGAAACAACGTGTAGAGCTACGCGCGCCTCTTGTGCCTCCTTCAGCGACCGCTGTACTTGAGCTAGTCGTGCACACGTCTATAGTAGCAAGCACACAAAGCTATAAAAACAGCGCCAGTATTTTTTTTGGTTTTTTCTCAGTTTTTATCTCTTCCTATTTTTAGCTGAGTGTGAGCGTTTTCTCGCAATGGTTAGCTCTATTGATCTCCCTTGCACTCGATTATGCGTCTTTTTTTCCCAGCTACGTACGACCTATCTACACTGTTTCGCCCGGCAGTTCCCGTGCAGTAATAAACGGGGGCTCTACCACATGGGCAGGTGAACGCCACTTGCGAATAGGGAGCGATGCCCCATGAATAAGGACGGCAGCCTGCAGCCTTGTGGCTGTATCTCAAGCCACAGTAATGTCACACTCCGTACGCTACTCCAACATGCGCTGAAGCTGTTAAAAGCAGGACGATGAAAGCCTCTTCTGTTTTTAAGAGTTGAAGCTACTACGCTCAGTTATGAGATAGGACTCAGGAAAGCAGCAATGAAGAAGGAACAGCATATACAGCAAGGTACAGGCAGGTAGTTTGTCGTGAGGCAGAAAAGCGGAGTAAACTCAGGATACGATAAGTGTCAACACGCTAACTTGGCTTGCTACAAAACTTCCGATTGGAAACCTGCTGCATGCGGTAGAGCCAACCCCGTTTGCATGTTTTGTTATCAAGGCGCTATCCAAATATGTGTTCTGAGACATTTAGAGTTGCATCGCAGAAGAAAGTGAATGTGAAAGTGAGAAGGAGGCAGGTTAAGGCGAGGAAGAAGTAAAAGGGGTAAATTATCGGCTGCGGGTATCGAGGATGGAGTGAATGGTAACTGGCGATGTCTTGCCAATAAACGACTGCATGCTATTCATGCTATGCACCTCAGCTTGCTTCATGGATCAAATGGCCATGAAGCAAGCTGAGGTGCTAGCCACTCGAGCAGCTAGATAGTGTCTCTCAAATTCTATTGGAGACTGCGGTCTGAGAGTAGCAGTCTCTAACATAGTAACTGTCCTTTTCAGAACAGTATCAGCGGCAATAATGGCGTCATAGCGACAAATGTTTCTGGTGCGTCCCTGTCCAAACGGAGCAGAACTGGCGTCATCGAATAATGGTCTGGAGGCAAAGAAAAATGGCGTAAATTTCGGAGGTAAAAAGGCAGAGATTGACTAAGCTTGCTTTGCTTTTGGGGGATATAGGGACTACGGGCACCTGTCGTCAGAACCTAATAAGGATAGGACATATGTAAAAACCAATTACTGAAGCAAAAAAGCTGGAAGTGATTGCACTGTGATGAACATTTGATCGTGAGTTATAGTTTTTAAAATTTGACTTCTTTTGGAATAAAGCCACGAAAAGATTTTCAAGAGGTAATAAATCCTGAAAGTAAGAGCCTTACGCAATTACTTGACCGCAGTTATGCTCTGTATATATGTAAATCATTTATCTGTATGATCGATTACAAAATTCAATAAAACCGGAAATGATCTAGAAGTGACAGCATAAACTTGTATTTGTAAATGAGCGCTAGAAGTTCAAGTCGAAGTAAAGTTCAATAGCTTTTCGTGATCATGGAAAGAAATAGTTACTAACAACAAATAGCGGTAAATATCGGGCACAACATGCAGTGACGGACTAAATTCGTCAATCAGTTCTAGCTTTCCTTGTGGGTATTGAAACGATAGAGTGTCGATGAGCGCGGAGACGGCATTTGATTGCCGATGATATATTGAATAACCGATGATATATTTCTAGTTTGTTGAAACTGAACCCAGTCTTCGCAATGCTAGAACAGAAAAAATTGAAGAACAAGCGCAATCGCTCACATAACGTCAGAGACATGATTCAGCGGCGATGTTTTCTTATAAGAGATATTTGCGTGGACTATCAACCTAAGGTGATGGCTAAGTTTAATTTTTTATAAACTCAAAAGTCGATTTCAACATCTACAGAGAGAAGCATATACACTCAGGGCCATCTGAACGGTTGTTCGGATTTACAGCATCAGTACAAACATTACTTGAAGCACCTCGTACTAAACAAAGACCTATCATCGAAAAGCAAGTTAATAGTCAACACCTAGTTGGTATGGGGTGTTACAAATGCATAAATCGTCGTTCAAGTGAGGTAAGTCATGCGCACATTTACAATCCTAAGGAACTAAGAGATCAATCAGTCAAAGCGCAACGCGATATTGCACAGTAGTCAGCTAACTGCGAAACACGTACTGAAACTGCGAGCGAAAAAGTATCGAAAAGTAGTAGTAAATCCTTCTGCCAGTGAATGAAGTATGATAAAGTAAACATGCAAAGTGTCCACTGTATAATTTCGAATAGAACTATCAACTTGTTCTTACCAAGAGCAAGAACAGCAACAACACCAACAAAAGCAGCAAGTCTTCTGTGTGGCGGGGTTGGTCGTTCCGTCGGCGGGCGCGTCGGTAGTAGGATGGTCGGCGGCCGTCGTTTGTCCGGATTCGCGTATCACTTTGGCTGTGTCTCCGTCCCCGCCTTCGCCGTTGTTTCCGTTTCCATCGCTGCCTTCGACCGCAACAACCGCAAAAGCCCCAATTCCGGCTGAAGCCGGCGAGTGTGTGGGGTGTCCTGTTGATGAGGAATGACGACCAGGGCCTTCACTTGCACCCTCGGGTAGTTCTGGACTCAGCGGACGCAGGGGATCAGATGCACTGGCTGGCTCGTTGAGATCGGTTGAACCTGGGGGACTGTTTGGCGTCGAGGGGCTCGCCGAAAGTCCGGGTTCGCTGCTGCTCGTCTCAGTGATTCTGATTGTGACGGCCACAGGACCTGCCGGAGGTCCCGTGTCCTTCTGCACCACTTGCGGCTGTGGCCCGCTACCGCCGCCTACTGTTGTGATTGCAGAAATTTCCGAGAGGCACTTTTTAGCGCACGGTTTGCCGCTAGCAGTCTCCAGTTGCAGTTCTCGTTTGTTCGACATCTGTTCGCCAAAAAAGAGGAAAAAGAAGTAATGAAAAGAGCAATGTGGAGGATAAGAAACAAGACGAACTTAAAGGCCGAATTCGCTTTTTGTATGTAGCGCAGAGAATGCGAGGCCAATGATGGCCGAGAGGTTCCGGTATATTAAAAAATTCTCAGTATTCATGTTTTTAGGTTTACATCATGATTTGATCGCCACCGACAACATCAGCTAAGGTCTAGCCACGATGAGATTGCGTTTATTAATTTGGGTGCAATAGACAATAACCAGAGCGTCTGTTATTTTTTTAGAGTATGTGTAGAGAAAGATGATATGATATTATTTTTATTACATTTGAGATTTTAGTACATTATAATAGAACATAGCAGAATCACATGTTAGCAGGTGAGCTAGTCACAAATATAACCATGAACTGTCGTATAGATTAATGTACTAGGTTTCCTTAATTATGGAGAAAACGGATTGCACATCTATTATGGACAGTAGGGTTAGGGCATATGAGTATCCGTTCATCTCTCAGAAAATGTTCTTGGAACAAATCTCGTTACATATCTATTGTCCGCATAGACCGTTAACGTGACCTAATGTGAACTCGTTCATCACAGTCGCATCGTTCGTTTACATAATGAATCTCTTTCTTAATTGCACAAGAGAACCCGTATAGTATGGCAACAACTCAACGGTACGGTGTGTTTGCTGCTTTACGCATTTTAATGAATGATCGAGGTGCACATAGCGTTGAGAAGCAGACAAGCGTTTACGCGGTAAAGACATTAACATGTCAATCTATCAAAGAAAAAAATTATTACAAAGCTTCCTTTTATTTCTGAAGAATTAATATCAACCTACCCTACAGTATCCAGCCGCTGCATCAACATTGTATATGCATTAGATGCATACACAATGTGTTAATGAAAAGTATAATTGTATAAGCAATATATAAAACACTTAAAAATGCATTTCTACGTCAGATTAGCTTGTAGCCGATGATTATTGAAGATCGATAAACGCTCAAGCTAATTTTTGAATTTGGTGTTATGCCCTGCTGTCGAACAACAATTAGTAGAAGACGGTCTTGAAGATATGAAGATCGTTTTTTGATCCTTGCCGCTGATGTGGACTTACAAGCGTGCAGTTGTTGAGATATTTTAGCATTGGCACGTATGCACGAGTGGAGAGGGGCAGGAATGTACGAGTGATGGTTTTCTCGAGCAAGAAACCTTTATCAAGCAGCTGCCTGTGATTAGAAGTGTTGGCAGATAGTGAAGTGTTGCGATTCAAATAGGACTCAAAAAAGTATATTTACAAAAAGCACCTAATAATCGTAACTTGCCTTTCACAGTTGTTTACTTTTATTATCACAAGCACTACGTCCCTCCATCGCACCGCGGAAAATATTCTCCTGTGCATTTAGGTACAACATTAATGCAGAAAGGCTGCATATATATTCTAGAGGAAATGCCCGAGAAACCACGTTATTGCCACCAAATGTAGCGCAAAAAGAGGCAGACAAAGAAATTGAGTGATAACAATTTACAGTTAGACAAATTATTTAAAACGGGCGTCGCTGAGACTTCAGCACGTACGAGCAATTTTTTGCTTTGTATATATATATATATATGCTCAACCAAACACATAAAATATATGTCATTTATCCACATTTTGCGCCCGCGCCCTTGTTTGTAATGTCGTTAAACATAGACCTGCTGCCTGTCTGTCTTTCTCGATTGTGTTAACAAGAGCGTGGCCGAAGGGTGTGGGCAGTCAGCTCTAACTAGATCATCGCGGACCCACTTGCCAGTCGCGCAGGTGCGTGCCATTGCGTATCGATTCGCAAAACGGCTTTATTCTACTAACTAACGTCCCCATGATAACACAATGACTAGCGTGTTCGCTCTGCTAAACTTAGGGGCATGTGGTAATGTAAATTCGCAGCACAACCTAGAGACACTTTGTTTCGTGTCGCTGCAGGCCAGCCGTCTGAAGCGACAGTTAACGGGTTTGGGTACGGGATGTAAGACACGTAAAATATTAAACCAGTGCCTGATGATCTAAGCTGGCTTCATAGGGGCCTTATGAACGGGTTTTTCGTTTATGTGCACCCTTTGATAGACACATTTACGTTCCCTGTTACGTCGTTAAACTGTCTCTGAATCCTCAGATCTAGTTTTTCGCGGCCATAGTTCAAAGTGGGTCGGTGATAACGTAAAGTAAGACTGATTCGACGTTGCTTGCTTTCGTTTTGTGTTACGGCAGGATGCAATGTCTATTACAGACAGAGTGTGTAAGTGTATAGCAAAAGCACGAAGGCTACAAGGCTGATCGAATTTGGGACCAATGACTATTTTTGAAGACATGACGATTCCTTGTGGAATTTGGGTCGGGGGTAACTGCACCTGCCTCTTTGCTATAGGTACTAGCGCATGGCATGGTTTTCGGATGAATAAAAAGAGCATAGAAAAAACTTTAAGCAGGTCATCAGCAAGAGGATACAGCGCAAGAGGATAAGGAAATCAAATTAAATAGAAAAATGTACTTGAACTCACATTAAATTTTCTTAAAAAACGATTAAGATTTATGTTTTTTTTTTTCATTTTAGTTTGAAGTCCTAGCATACCAAATATGTAATCACACGTGTTATATTATTATCTTATTCATATTGTTCATTATGAACATAAAGAACTTAGGTGACATTAAAGATTATGTCGCGCTTCATCAAAATAGTTATATACTAGATGAAAATGGAGATTCTTAAAGCGCACCTGGCAGCGTTTTTAGACAAGGGTCATTTACACCTTATTTTGAAATAATATATTTTTCAAAAACGTCTTTTTTAGTTCTACATCCGGTCTCACTAATACTAATAAAAATGGTTTCTCGGCTATTTATAATGTCTCCTTTCAATTGTTATAAATTCCATTTTATCGACTGCTTTAAAGTATTAATAATGGATTCAATTTTAACATTCTCTCTCTTATTCGCTGTTTGTATGCGACACGTTTGGTAAATCTGTTAACGATTCCAGAAAGAGGCTGCGTAGAGAGTGTGAGACAGAGAGGTCGAATCACCATCGAAGAGACACCAATAACGGGGACAGCATCGAGGCGAGCAGTTCGACTACGGCCAATGGGTTCTACGCGCGTTATCATCGCGGGCTTCATGAAGCAAATTCCGGTAGTTTCAATGACTGAAGGACCGGGGACCGGCTCCGGTACGGGTTAGCTTAGATTACTGAACGCAAACGCAAGACCGGGCCCTGCGGAAACGCGAAGTATGACACAGTGGAACTAAAAGGAAATTACAAGTTCGGCGATCCTCGCCTCCAAAAGCCCTGTATAGAATAGGCATGCCTGTGCTCATGGAGACTTGAGGAACAACCCTTTTAACCTACCACTTACTGTTCTGCGCATTGTTTTGCACTGAAAAGCAACGGACCAGGCCGCCTTGACAAAGATATCTTCATTTTTTACAACCATAAAGTAGGCGATTTTAGCCTAGCACACAATAATGTCACTGCTCTACGTGACTAACGACTGTGTCTCCTAGAAGCCACGTTCGGCTGGCTGAATCGGAATTAACGTTGTACTGGTGGAGGAACGCGTCAGTGAAATAGAAACGCTGCCCTTTCATTTTGCCTTTCCTCTGGTCATTGCCTGCGACTTTAACGCCTACCTACGCTGGCAAAACTCAAGCCGTACTATGGCCTTTTAGGACACGCTCGTCGGACTATGGTTGCTGGGTAGTCAATCCCATCTCGACACCAACTTTCCCTGGGGGATGTAGGAATTTCTGTTATCGATATATTTGCGAAAAACATAGGTTAAAGCTTTAGAGTGAGAATCATGAACTTTTAAAGAGAGCAAGCATTCGTGTTCGCATACCGATGACAGTAGACCTCACTATTGAAGTTGTACTTCAGTTGCTAGTTGAACTTTCAATGCTAAGCTCCATCGCGACGTCAAAATGTAGACAAGTCCCTGGAACACACCCACGAAGGTTTCCTTGACGTGGTAAATGCCGAATCCTTTGCGTAGCAACTTGGCGGTGTAAATAATTGAGTCTAGATTCTTTCCCTTCCATCACCCGTAAGTAGGGCCCCAGATAACCTTCAGGCTTATAGAGCCGGAGTGTTATCCCTTAGCTTCCGTTTTTAAAAAGTGTATACGTCACAAAGGCAATGATATCTTGAACGTTGGGATCTCGTGTGATTGCCGATGCAGAACATCAACCATACAAGTGACTAGCTTAACATGGCAGATCCGATTGGCTCCTAAGCTCTTATAAATCATTTTTCAGAGATGTTTGCGTCAACACAGATATGATACCATGCCCGGTACTTTCTCTGGCCGCGGCGTGGAAAGACAGAAGATCAATACAACGCAATATTTTCCAACAATACCTTACAGTGCGGAAACTAATGCTAGGGCCTCGGAGCCTACTCAGCGAGAAGCTATATCGATCTATGTAGGGTCTACAATGAGCATCTTAAATGCTCTTTTGTTTTAGCACTGTGCTGGACGGCACCATTTAATAAATATTTACATACTGGTACACTTCCATGGAGATATGATACCCTGTTAGTGATCTCAAAAAAGAGAGGGCCATCATGGCGGGGAACGACGAAGAAAAGCATTTATTATATGCTGCTTTCCGACTTAAGCAACTGTACAGCCGCTTAGGTAGTGGGCACGCCACACTAGAGAAGCAACATGAGTTTTAAAGGGAACGTTCCGCAGAAATGGCGTGCAGAAACTCAATGGCTGACTTTGAGAGCGAACTGGCCAAGCCGCGGAATCCGTTATACGCTGTATTCATCGACCGACAGTCAGCATTGTATTGATGCGAAATTTAGCCTTACTTACGAGCATTTATGTCGCCTGATTCAGAGCGCAACTCTCGCCTAGTTGAATCTTCTGCGTCTAGTGACTTTTCCCCTTAGCAGAACCACACTCTTCGTCTTCATATCGGTCATAACGTCACTACTGGGTTTCGTTGTAGAAGGGACGCAATCATCACACAGCCCAGACTTACTACAATCCTTTGCTTAGTCTGTTTTTCCAGGCTTTCTGAGCTTCTTAAATATCTTCTGCTAAAGCTTAAATCAAAATGACAGTATCCTTCCTCAATGTTAAGCGGTTCATTTTGGTTGCTAAACGGCCCTCTGATAGACTCTCATAAGTTCTAAGTACCTAGGTAAGGCAATCTATATTTCACACTTAAATCGCGAACTAACTCGTCTATTATATGTATGATTATTTAAAGTATCAATATATCGGTCAGATTTAACACATAATTATAATACATTCTGAGCTAATCTAATGTCTATATGTATATAAGAAGAGGATTTCTAAAGGGGTAACATATTTATAAGTTACTTTCCTTGACGTTTTATCACTAAAAATAAACCTTAGCTAGATTATCAACATCTTGCCCAAGCTGTTTGGATGAATATGATATCATTAGATAATATAATAAAGTTTTTGCCAACAACAAAAAACAAAACTGCCAAATACGAGTTCTGTAATCACTCCTCTGACTTGCGAAGGCAGATCATCATTACATTTAATAACACCATCGTAATAAATGCAACCGTAAACCTTCAATAACTTTTGTTTGCGTACAAAATCGCTTTCTACGAAACGTTGCCGGCGCAAAATTTTAATTATTTACCATATTTAACGTAGAAGGCAGACGCATCTCTTTCGCGAGCTGTCAATTGAACTACTACAACGGAGATCTTACTACTAGTATTAATCGATGAGATCGGCTACCCGGTAGGCGGTATCCGCCACGTCCAGGCCCGTCTTCCTGCCAGTCAATAACAACTGCTATATATACTCGTATATATCACATAGGATTATATTGGTTCGATGGTTTATTGCAACACAACGTTTTTGTTGTGGCTGTTTGTGATCATCGACTGCTCATCGTTTTTGCTGCTTAGGGTCACGGTAGTATTTGTCTATCGTCGCCACCATGACCACTCGTAATAACACACGAATTCGTAATTTGAATAATGAATTGCAATTTTTATATTATTTTTCTTTTTACTCTTCTCATTGATTTCATATATTATTATTATCGTCGTGATTAATGAGTGTATGTATAGATATCCGTTTACGTTTTGCAGCATTCGCCTGGTAATGAAAATGCTGAGTACAGCTCTAGCATTAATAGCAATGGTTGTTCACTTCGTCAGTTTAGCTTTGTCTGTTGTACCGCTTAAATCGTTTGTTTCCTATTGAAAAACACCTTCTATGTTCTTCAGTATTATTAGTCCTTATTTATCGTTTGCCCTACGTCGCCGTCTAATTCTCGATTGGATCGAACGTAGCATTAAAGTGGTCGTAGGACTTAACGCGGGTGTCGGCTTCTATCCAACACGTTTATTTTTTGCGTTATAAATTATCTGTACCTGTACAATACTTTATGTGCTCATTCTTGTTATCCTTCACGCACAATCTCAGCCCCACAATCACTTATCAGTTTGTTGCACTTTACCCCACCCCGAAATCACATAGTCGATCTGTTACAATGTTTTTCTATACTTTAACGCTCGTCCGTTTAGCATCCCGTCTCGTTTTCGGTTTGACGTTAATTCAGTTTACTCACGTTTTATCCCACGTAACCCAAACGGCCTTCTGTTTATTTGTCGCCCCGTCAACTATCGCTTCTTTCAACAATACATGGCGAGCGTATAGATCAGTCTCTGGGCAACATTTATACCCAGCTCCGTTTTTATGTGGATCGTTTTGTTCCGGAATCCACTGCTCACGAGATGGCGGCTGCTTCGGTGTGTAGCTTTTCGTACCGTCTCAGTCGTGACTAGTCTTCGTCTACCGTTTGCTTCAGGTGTTCGTTATTACGCCAGATCTTCCTGAATGCACACTTTTTATCCTATATAGATCCTGTAAACACAAACTGTTTACTGTTTACATCGTCGGTTTGTTTCTATTCATCACTGACGCGTGCAAAGTCATTGTTGTCCTGACCAACTCAGCTCAATGCAGCTGTTATCGGTCAGCCTCAGTGTATTCGTTTGTCATTATGAATACATGTCGTTAAATCAATGATTTTCCATCAATAGCTCACCATTACTAGCTTATACTATTATTACATTAGTTTTATCGTCTGTTACTCCTTATGTTTTCGGTAAAGCCTCTGACAAAATTATAAATTATAAAGAGGGATGATAAAGAAAATTCGCTCCGTGTAGAATATTTTTGGTTACTGCTGACTTTTTTCTTATGTTTTTACCGTTATTGTTAAACTCATCTCTCATTTGTTTTTTTCTTTGCCTTTGATTTATCACCTGCGGTTGTCTCTTGGTCGTTGTCTATTTGCTTGTCCTTATTTTTTTTTTTTCTGACTTTTAGGGAGGCGTCTCTATTTTTTTGGTTTTATTTCCGTATTTCTTTCCGCTTCTGTTTCTATTTTTTCGACATATAACTCAACAGCTATCTGACAATATTGACCTTTTGATGTCATCTCTTATTTGCAGAAAGGTGGGTACAGAGTAATTGAACATTTACGTTATTATTTAGAGGCCGGAGTCTCTATGCAGTGTGACGGTGGCATCCGTTAGTTTATGGTGTGGCAAATACCAACCGGATTTTCGAATCTATTGGTCTATTGAGAAATATCTACAAAAGAATATGTGCGTCTATCTTCCTATAGCGGATGATTGACGGAAGGTGAATTTCAATTTGTTCGACGCTAAGTCGCTCATGTCGCACGGTTTATTCTGCTGGAACTGTCGAACGCCTGTTGCCTTTCCAACAGACAACGTTCTGTGATAATGACTATGGTGATCGCTTTCGTACGTGAAGACTGCCGGAGTCCGTGTTTCGTGATCCTGTGATTTCGTGTCTGTATTGTCCGTTACGTTGTTATTAGACGACATATTCTTTATTCGACCTCAACATTGATGGCGCGGTTGCTATTTCTGTTGGTTATTGCCTTTTGTGGTCATACAGGTGTCGCACATTTTCGTTTATATTAGCTTAGTATGTCCACGAAATCAAGGTTCGGCCTGATCGCGGGGCATGCGTTGGGCGGACGTTAGAGCCGACGATTCCCTGGGCTGCCAGTTGCGCTGGTGCATCTCGACGAGGTCCTGTACCATGAAAATCATGCGAAGCTTACGTTGGTCGTGAAGCGGCCTAAGAGCAGCCTGCAATTGATGAACGATATTTAGTACCCATTGAGGTTGGGCGCTTTCCATTGCTTGGCCGGCACAGCTGAGCGCGCTGCAGACGCATTCGAGAGCGATATCATTGCCGGGCAAGTAAACTTCCAACAGCTTCAAGTAGTCATCATACAGCCGATCAAACGTTAGCTGATTTTCGATAAATAAATGACAAAGGAACACCACAAGTGCCTTGAGTCGGTGTCGCTGCAAATCCCCACTGGTCGGATAGTTATTGCTGCAAACGCTGTTGCTCTCATCGTTGCTCATCGTACGGTTTCTGTAGCTGTTGTTATGCGAGGAGGATCCGCTAGAGGACACCGCTTCTCGCAGACTAGTGTCCTGATACATCGTTGATAGCGATTGGTGGTTGACCTGGTGGATTACTGAAGCTGACTGCAGCTGCTGGAGGTGGTGCTGCTGTTTATTATGATGAAAATAGACATTTCGTTGATTCTGCTGCAGTTGTGGTAGCGAATACGGATGATGGCGGTGGAGCAATTGTCCCTGTTGCTGCTGATGTTGAAGTGGCTGCTGGATCGGCACTGGATAATGCCGTTGTGATGTCATTTGGCTGGGATACAGGTGAACTTGGTGCTGGACTCGTTGCTGATGCTGGACGTTAGGGAAGAGACCAGAGTGGTTACGATTAGTTGATGTTGAAGTTACCACATGGTTGTTTTCGCTGTCATCACACGTCTCCATAGGCTCAGCGATGAGTGCGCGCACCCCTTGAGCGTACGTGCTTCGGCATCGGGCCATCAGGTGCTTATAGAATACGTAGCCACTGCGGACCCGTACAAGAACTGAACATAACCTGGCATAGGTAGCCGCGTATATCGGTTCGAGCTGTGCGCGGTCAACGAGTTGACGCGCGAGTTCTTCGGGGACTTCGTCCTCGAGAAGATGACCCGCCACCTGCGTAGCTAACGAATCAAGCGAGTTCTGCGATGGCGCCAGCTTGTTGAGCATCGCTCGGAGCGAGCCCTCGGTTGAAGTTGCGTCTTGTTGCTCACGGCGTCTCCATACGACTTTTGTCGTTGACGGCGCACTTGGCGTCGAACTAGTCGTCGCTGGCGTAGGCACCGGTGCGGCGGGCGCCACGGCTACTCCTGCAGGAGTAGCGTTAGCAGCAGCAGTGGCGGCGGCAGAGGACGAATCGAATAAATGGCGATTCCTGCTATGGTTGAAGGGCTGTTGTTGGTGCAATTGCTGCGTAACTGTTGGTCGTTGCCTCGCAGCACTTGCAGCACTATCATTTTGAGACACACCAATAGACCCATGGCCATAAACACTTTCAGTAACTATGCTGCCGCCGCTGCTGTTACTGGCAGCACAATCGAAGTAGTCATTATCAATGTTATGGCTGTCACGTCCCGTAGCGTTGCTGTGTGCCTGCTGCCTATCGATCTCAGTGGTGTTTGTACAGTTGGTGATATGGTCGTTCGCGTATTCGCACACTTCTATCATCGCTTGATTTGGGTTTCCACCAATAGTAGCATCACTTTCGCCCTCGTGTCCACCGTTAGCACCACGTTCTCCATCATCACTTCCACTGTGACCAACAGCTAGACTGTTATAAGCAACTGTTGTTAGCGTTGTTATTGTTGTCACGCCCGTGATGTTGACCCTTTCGCTAGGGTGGTTTGTACCATTAGCAGCAGCACTTCCAGCCTCCAGCGGCAAGCGTTTAGCACCAGCTGCGAAGCCAGTCCCCACAATGTGGACGCCTCCGAAGGCTGCTGCCGATGACGGATCGTCGATGCTGGCAAATCCGCCATTGCCGGCCCGGGGGCCACCACGGCGTTCACCGCCATCGCCGAAATTATGAGTTGTAACAGAGTGAGTCTCCGTAAAACTAGCCACAGTATAGTAGTCCTTGTTGGTAGGACCAGAACTCACAGGCGCGGAGTAGTGGTAAGTAGTGGTTCTAGAAGTAGCACTGGGAAGGCAAATCGATGTCTTTGTTGTTGTAGCAGCACAATCGTTGTCATGGTCGCAGGCCGTTGTAGTGCTTGCTTTTTGTCGCGTTGTAGTAGAGGCCGTTGTCGCAATCGTCGTGGTCGTTGTCTTTGGCGTCCTAGGGCCTAGTCGACTTTGCCCACTGGCTGAGGGCCCCGCCATGCCGCCTACGGCAGCCCGCAGGCTAGCGAAACGCGGCTCCGCGCCCCGATGTAGCCGATTTTCACAGATCCAGGCTAAGTTTTATGTTGGAAAAACAAGCAAAAAGAGAAAAGAGGTGACTGGCGGACAGCCACAGAGCGGCTACTCCGTCAGTCCGTCAACCAAAACATAAAGCCAACGGCCATCGCGACCCAGCCAGCCGACAGCGTTCGCAGCGGCGCCAGCAGCGGCGGCGGCGCACGGCAACCCGACAGCGCCATTGGCTAGAAGCCACCGCAGCTGTGTGTGGCTGTGATCGCTGATCACCAGGGACGCACGGCCATCGATACGGCACACGGTGCTTTCGAACCCAGACACAAGCTACTCTCGCTTTCCTATGCGTTCACAAAACACAGCACAGTGAGATGCGGCGGCAAATTACTGTCTCTGCGCTGCTATCGTATCCGGCCGTAGTCAAGGCGGCAGTGGCGACAGTAGCGCATCAGCTGAACACACCAGTCGACAGCAGCAGCTGCAATAAAAGAGACGGCGACACACAGCCCGACAACATGGCCTGCTCGTGCTTTGGTGGCGATACAGAAAAGGCCCGGCAGAGGGCAGACAAACGCCCCTTGGCGTGCAGTGTTACGGTTATAGATAATGGCAGCGCAAATACACACATACCAAACGACTATATACACTCGGTTTGCTAAGTTAACAAGCGAGCGACCGGCCGGCCGCCGGCCGGTCAGCCGCGCCACACCCGACGATTCTACGATGGATGGGGCTGCGCATGCGCAGCTCGATAATCCATGGCCGAGCTACTGCGGGGCAACTGTTCTTCGACCCGTTTGCGTAGCAGGGCAGTGGTAGAGGTAAGCAGACAGAGAGAAAGGCAAGAGGCTAGCGAATGGTTGCGAGGTCTACGGCCTGCCTGCGCTCCTTCCGCTGTTGTTGTTTCGCGCCACAGGTCATCTTGGCAACCACAGCGCTGACAACGCCACTTGAGCTGGCATTCGGCACACGTTGGCAAAAAAATATGACAAATGTATAAACAACCACGTAGATAAAAAGTAGAGGAAAAGTAAGCTCTAAGCATTGAGGTTTGATAGTCGCCATGTTGTTCAATAGGTCTACTGGACAAATTCCAAATGAGTTCAGCAAAACCATCTCCGATTGGACTTCTTATAGAGACAGCTCCTTAATGCTGTACCTAAAAAAAGTGATTTTAATAACTTGTTAAGCTAAATAACTGGCGCTAAACAAAAAGCAAAAAAGTGAAATTTAGAAAGACGCGTCTATCGTTAGAGACAGCCTATACGGCAGAATTCTATTCAAGATTCTCGTGGGTTACAACCAATAACCAATACGTGATTATAATCACTTGGAAAAATCAAATAAAAACTATACGTTTACTGTTTGTCTATTGCGCTTTTTTTCCCGTTTTCCGGGATGTCTACCTAAGCGTCTCTCATCTGCTGCGTCATCGGCTTTATTTATTGCTCGTAGCGCTTCTGGCTTCGTTTGAATAGGTACAAGCAACGTGTTCTCGTGATAGCTTAATGGGGAACGTATTTGCCTACTAGTCTTAGGAACATGTTGTGGTGCAAATACGAATCCGGGCATAGACAGACTTTGTTTCGTGATGGAAACCAACCAGCTACATCTTGGAAAACCTAACGTCGACACCGGACGTTAAAACTCGCAACATAGAGGGGCATAAGCAACTCGAGACTCTTACAGCTCCGTTAAGTTGGCGCAGAAGTCCTTCTGGCGTAGAACTATACATAAACCTTATATCTCTATATTAGTTACAAGTGATGACACGATACTCGATGTAGTTTGTCGCTTACAGTTTGACTTCCTCACTGCCAGCTTGGGGGTTAGACCACTTCCCCCATAAATGTATATATAGGCAAGCACGATACTAACGTTCTGTTGGTTCGTTGGGCGTAATCGATCGGTCTCGCTTTCCCTAAGGCTTTTCGAGCTCAAGAGCCGCAACGCTGCAGTAGTATATAGTAGTATCATTAGATGTTAACTTGGTAGTCGTCGTCGTGCACCATCAGTAGTGAAAATGTTAGCCGTTAAGGGGGGCTGAATGGGGTAGCTGAGCTGGAGCTATGAGCGTCAACAAGCAAGGCACCGACGAGGGGTGGCAAAACATCGATTACAGGTGAAATATATGGCGCTCGCGTGCGGCGGCTAGTGATAAATAGAATTTGGAATAGGACAGCAGAGTCAATGAATCGCATGTATCAAACGCAATATACACTCGCACGAACGCAAACTTGTACTATATACGTGCAAATAAAAGACGGGCGCATGCAGTTTAGAAAATGGTTTGTGCATTGGTTGGACGTAATCGATTGGTCTCTCCTTCCCTAAGGCTACTCGATCTCAAGAGTCCAAGTGCTGCGGTAGTATCTGGTAGCAGCATTAGATGTTAGCTTGCTAGTCGTCGTCGTCGTCGTCTATTAACAATAGTGAAGATGTGAGCCGTGAAGGGGGGCTGGATGGGGCAGCTGAGCTGGAACTATGGGCCGAGGGGTGGGAAAACGACGATTATAGCTGGAATATATGGCGCCCGCGTGCGGCGACTATCGATTATAACATTTGGAAATAGGACAGCAAATGTGGATGAATTCGAATGAATCGCATGTGTGCAACGTATATACATTCTTACAAATGCGAATTGTACTATATTGAAAATAAAATACAGACGCGCGCAGTTTAGAAAAAAACAAACTTCTTACGACGATTTTTGATGGATAATGGACACGATGTTGAGATTTGATCCAGGTATTTTTGGTTATTCCATTCTTACAGGTCGCTTATTTCTTTTAGCCGATTCATCATCTCTTCGCTAGGTTGTAGCAGGCTGCTGTCAGCTAAAAAAGTTCTAGAGTAGAGTCAGGAGCTGTTTATTTTGCGCTGATTACGATTTATGCGTATATACAACTGGGATGCTTTGGCGGACATCAAAATTAAGACAGCGTAATAGTCAAACGAGACAATGGTAACCACACCAATTATTTTTAAGCGTGTATAGGGTTAATACTAATTTTTTTTTATTATTCTAATTTTTCTAAAGAAGAAAAATCTTTATAGAGCATTAGACAGTCAGAAACAGGTGGGATAGCTTTGATTAGATACTGTGGCAGGACGACGGGTTTGCCTATTAAACTCTGGAACATTTAGCAGTATATGGCGCCCGCGTGAAATACTCTAAATTCGAAACCTAGTTTAGACATACGTCGTTTCGTTCTGCAAGGGACCAACCATCTGTCTGAAGCGATGCTTAGCAGCAGTATTGGTCATAAAACTTAACATATTCATGGGTAAGGCCATCGCTTAAGTTTATTTGCTTCGTAAATTTAGAAAAAAAACTTTAGCAAAGAAAGAGAGAGAGAGAGAGAGAGAGAGAAAGTTATTAAGGAACTTGAATAATAAAATATGAAATTATATTGGTGGGGCCGCCCTCGTCTCGTCGTTCCTTACACGAGTCTTTTGAACGTAATTATTATATATAACTTGTTAGGAACTTAGTATGGGCGTAGGTACTAAAGCGTAATAATAAGCTAAGTTCCGAAAGATTCAGTGTTCAAGGAACACCGTCTTTATTACTGTGCACCTTCGCCGCTAGTATTGTAGGTAAAAGCGATAGGTCATTCATACTAAGTACAAACAAGTTCATCTTCATTTATATCATGAGAAAGTCTATTAGTATTCAGTATTCAGCCCAAACTAAGTAGGCTAATATATAGAATTGTCTGAATTATATATATATATATATATATAAAGTACGCTCCCCAAACCCTGTCATCTACTGTAGCTTTTTGTAACTTTTTGTAAAACAAAAGATTTATGACACATTTAGGATTTTCCTCGTTCATTAAATGAATAACCCATTACTTTACCGTTTATTATTATTATTACGCAGGAATATATGTTTTCCTAAATTCGTTTTCTCGTCTATATATATCTCGTCTATAATATCAATACTCTATTTATCTTTATTTATTTAATAGCAGGATATTCCCAAATTCGAAATCAATTTTTTTAGGAAAGACAAGTGTGGCAAACTATAGGACTAGAACTATAGGACTCTACAGCATTGTTTTATAGACGTAGTTTCAGCGTCTATTTTCATCTAAAAACGGTATGCCAAATACCAATTAGAAAAATATGCGCAAGAGTTGCTAATTGAATTTAGAAATTGTGAGGGTATTTATGTGTAAAGCGGGACACTTGCTTTCCTTTAGTTCAATGACTATTTCATTGTAGTTAAATAACAAGGTTTAGTAGACTGGCATTAATTAAGCTTTATTCTTCGAATTTAAAATAAAAATAACTCAAAAACTTTTCATTTTCCCTTGGGAGGCTTAGGAGTATCTTACTTTTAACGTCGATTGCTAGATTCCAAATCAAATTTGATTGCAGTTGATAGAAAAAGAATGATCCGCTTGAAACTGATCTAAGTACAATTAATAAAAAGCTACTCTAATAAGCTTTAGTTGTGGAAGATTCGTTTTTCTTGCTTTTCTACAATTTTCGTTTCATCTTGCTGATATTCGAAAAGTAGTCGACTATTTAGATATTCTATCAAGTCATATCACAACAGAAGCTCCAGATAACGATATGGTTAACCGTTATACATAATTTAAAAAAATCCGTGCCATATGTATGGGGAAGTATCAAATACAATAATACAAAAGTTATGCCTTATTTTAAACGGTATCAACTTGTAGGTGGACGTAAAAAGTGTAATAATTCTTATCTGACTGACCGCACGCTCTCCTTGCATAAAAGTGGAACTTGGCAGAAATAACCTATGAATGTGCTTTCAGGACAATAGGAGTCGTACGATGTACGCCTAAGTAGTATACTTCCTCTGTGAGATACTGATCTTGCCAGGAGTTCTTTAACGGGTGGCAATGAGCGTCACGCTGTTGGTGCTCGCGCGACTACCGTTTACAACGAAGGCAATGATCCAAAGTTGACATGGTGATCTGACAAAGAGTCAGCTCATATGAAGTATTTCAAAAAACGTCTTTCCGGCCTCACAATCAGACCGACCACACCTTCCAATTCTGTATCCAAACGCAGAAAAATAGACGGACTCATATGTATCTAAAAAGCCGGCTGAAAAAAATATCTCCGTCCTTTACTCGAAATCATAGCCCCCGACAACGGGCATGAGAGGGAAAAACAGAGGGAGAACATGAGTTCGTACCAGAAGGATACGCAGAGTAAGCTAATGTCCAACTTTCTATTCGCTGGTTCCTTCCATATAACACCGGTAGTAGCGGCCACATCGTCTTTCAGCTGTCGTCGTCTTCTTCCTTCCTAATCCATATACCGGTTGTCGTAGGCTGTGAGCTCCTTTTACCTTCTATTCAGCAAGAATTGAGCTGGTACGGGTGCCGGTCTGGGCTCACTCGTCTCATGCCTCGGTGTGCTACACTGGTATCCACTCGACAGAGGTCCCTCGGGCTCGCATCACAGTCGCCTTCAGTCATAAGACGGCTGCCATGATAGCAAATCGGCGGAATGGGGGTTGAATCGGAACTGGGCCGCTCCGAAAGCTTGCTCTCAGACTGAAGAAGCAGAAGATCAAAAAACAGAGAGAAATAAAAACACAGCCAGGGTTGGTCGGA